AAATCCAATTTTAATTTGCTAGGTTCAATTCAACGAATAAAATTAGTTTCTACGTCGTACTAAAGAAATCTGTTATACCTGGTAAAGAGCATCACTTTGCAAAAGACTCTTGTGGCCAACCTCTTGGTGTTTAGAGACTTGATTTTCCTGTGATGCAACATTTTCAGCCATGTTATTTTTTGTTGAATTATTTCTTTTTCCTCTTTTTTTTCTTCTTCTTTTAGTTTGTGATTTAGAAAGTAATGAAATGGGAATATATAATGTGTGAGGCAATTTGGTTCACAAGGTAAGACTTGCATGAACATATTAGGCCCACCAACTAACAAAAAATTTGGTGAGATTCCTTCTTGCTGTGTTTTTGTTATTTTATGTTACATGTGGGACCCATGGAGGTTGTTGCAACAAAGTCTCAACCACTCGAATAAAAATACTTAATAACGTCAGATAACGTCATGATTAACTGTTTAGATTTGTGACAGGTGTCCTGTTAATAATTTTACTAACAAATACTTCCTACGTTTCAAATAGAACTTTTTAGTCCGTTAAAAAAGAATGATTTTTTTTTTTGGTAATATTTTAATTTTAGTTTTTCACGTTATATGTTTAATTGTACATTTGACATAACTTTAATTTAGGACCACAAGATTCAAAAATCTTCTTTAATTTCTTAAATTCTGTGTCAAGTCAAACTAGATCATTCTTTGTGAAACGAAGAGAGTATTCATTTCCAAATATATTTAAAACTTGCCTAAAAAAAAACGAAAAATAAAAATATTCATTTTGGTTGTTGATAAATTTATATGCTTTTTTCATGTTTATCCTACGTTATAAAAATGGTGAGTTCATAACTTAAATTCAGTTTCGGTTACTTGGTAAATATATTATTACTATATTATAGTGGAGACGATGATTTCGTATTAAAGTTAGAGAGAGTATCTTTTTTTTTTTTCTAACATAAAGGTATTTATTTTTATATAATAAATATTAGGGCAAACCACATAAATCCCACTAGTTTAGGTCTTAATTATTAAGATTCTCAATAATTTCAAATATTACTTCATGTACCATATCTTAGGATACATGAGTCTGAATCCATGAGATACATGCAGTATCTGCCAAATTTTAAAATTGAGATACAAAATTTATTTATTTAAATTAATTGGTTGGAACTGATTTCCTTAATTAGAGGAGTAATTGAGGATTTTCAAAATACATAGATAATTAATTTCATTTTATTATTCTTTGAAATAGTAAATTCATTAATATTATTAATTTAAGATAAAAACATGTATATCTTGGTAATGCAATTTGATTAATTTCAAATTATTACTCTTAAAATAATACATTCATTAATTTGATGTATCTATATCAATATATGATGTATCCAACAAACTAAACACTTAGATACACGAGTGTCCTGCAAGTACATTCATATGTATCATAGAAGTATCTAGCATTAATTTCATGTATTTGTTATAGGTATCTAGTATTAATTTTATGTATCTATTTATATATATATATATATAATATTGATTTCATGTATCTTTTATATGTATCTAGTACTAATTTGATGTATCAAGTATCAATTGCATATGTTATATCCAAAAACATGTATCTCGAATGCATAGTAAGCATATACATCTATACTACATTAAAAACATGAACTCCAAAAGAGCAATGTTAAATTACGTAAATACCCCTCACTTAAAACTTAAGAAGATTACGCAATACCCCTCACATAAAACTTATAAAGATTACGCAAATACCCTTAAATTTTAAAAAAAAAACCTAACTACGCATCCCTCCCGCAACAAACACCTTGCCTAGCCTACGAATAGACACCACTTTCCCTGGACAGACTCCACGCTTTCACTGGAAAGACACCAACTTTCCCCTGCAACTGCCCAACGTCTAAAAAATTACCAATCAACACAACCTCTGGAGATTTCTCTAATTATATCAGCCACCGGCACAACACCGTTTCCCAATAATAATTCAACTTGTGCATAAGACGCAAAGGTATGCCATTTTTCCTCTTCTGAAACAAGCCAAATTTTAAAAAACTCAAGTCTCACATATGCACTTTCTAATTAAATTAGGTGAATATTGATCATCCATCTGCAACCACATTACAATATTGGACTTGTCTTTTAAATATTTCACTCCGCATCAAAAGTTGTAAGTTTTCACTCTGTTTAAGTTTCCTGTTATGCTTTTCATTGGACTACTTGCAGCACATACATTGCTACAACATACTTACTTATTCCTTTGTTTTAACTACTACACACTGCGGCCTTGAATTACTATTGATATTCACTTTCCGCTATGCACCTCTAACCATCCAGATTCATCACAAATGGCGACCGAAACTGAACTATCAAAGCAGTGTGTCCCCATCAACAAGATACCAAAACACTCTGTTGATTGGGTGATGCGAGTATTAGTTATTCGCAAGGGTTCTGTAATTTCGTACAGCAATACTCGCCATGAAGGGACTTTCCAAACTGTAATATTAGTGGACGATGAGGTAACACTTTTGCTCAGCTTATATGTTATCGTTCCCATTTATTCCCGTTTTACTTCTCTAATGACATCACATATCGCTTACATCAATACTAGGGGACAAAGTTGCAAGCAACGCTATTTAACAAGCATATCGACACATGGAAAGACTTCTTGAAGACAAATAAGACGTACTACATTGCTAACGGGTTGTTGGATCGGGTTAATCCCAACTACACTTCCGTGCACAAAGAGATTGAACTGACCATTACAGATAACACAATCATAAGGGAGAGCGACCATGTTGTTTCAACACACAACTTCTCTAATGGTTTTGTATCTTTGGAACAGGCAGAGAAATTGCCTAATGGTGCCATATTTGGTAACTCTTCATACGACTTGTTAATAATTTTTGTCAATTACATCATACAGATCACTAATTTATATATCCGCTATTCAGACTTGCTTTGCGTGTTAGTTACGGTGAATCCCATCATTGAAAAAGGCGATAGCAAAAGACGCGAAATTGTTGTTACAAATGAACTGTAAGTTGCCCTTCTTTGTTCTCCACTGTCCATAATAATCTGGCAGTGCACTGACAGTACTTATCTAATTCATAATCCAGCATGGACTGTACGACTGTTACTCTGTGGGGAGATTTTGCACTAAACGACGGCGCCTTTCTTGAAAAGCTTAAAGATGACCAACCTATTCTAGGCTTATGTGACGTGCGAGTCTCAATCTATAAAGGTATAGACAACCTCTCCTATTTGCTGATTGTACAAATTTCAAGTATATTTGCTAATTTCTCGAATAAATATGTTGATTCCAATGTAGGGATTTTTGGGATATCAACTCTTCCCGTGAGCAGTGTGTTGATCAATCCAATCTTTCAAAAAGCACTAGATCTTCGCGCATGGTACAAAACCTCATTAACTAATATGCTCGACAATTTTTATTTACCGTTACTTCCACAACTTATGTTCAAACAAGAATTTAACAACATAGCCACAATTTGTTTATAGGGAGAACTATATACAACCATGCCTATCAAGTTAAATTTTAATCTAACAAATTTTAAACCCACAAACATTTCCTCAATTATGTGCTACAATTAACTCACCTCTTTCGATATACAGGCGTGAAGTCATAAAGGCCGAAAAGAAAGCTATCACAACCACACCAAGTAAGGTAATGAGAAAAGCCACAGAAGTGACATTACCCAATATTATGGATGGCACGCTTGCTGATACACAGGTACCTCCAAAACGACACTTTACCTATCCAAACAGGACCATTGTTTACCAAAAATAATGTTGTATATTGGCTATTAACAATGTCCAGGGAGCTTTATACAAGTTCAAAGCCAAAATTATAGACATACTCAATACAGATGAACCATGGTACTCGTCCTGCAAAAAGTGCCACAAGAAAGTGCAAGTTAAACAACATACAACGACATGTCCCAATTGCAACATCCAGAATGTGGAGTATGAAATGAGGTTAGACTTGCCTAAAATAAGCAATCAACATTTTATGATAATATACAACCAGTTTAACTATGAACTCTAACTTATTCACCTTATTTTAAAGATACTACTTACGGCTTGAAGTTTGTGCTGGAGAACAACGTGCTCGGGTTATACTATTTGATGCGGCACAAATGTTAGTAGGTTGCAATGTCGAAGAGTACATCAAAACAACCTCGGAAAATGTATGCCTTGTACTTCTAACATCTTACACCATATTTCAACGTACTTTAATCCCAACAATAAATAAGTGTATGACTAACTTTCAGAACTATTTTTATGCTAATATATCCAATTGTTGACATTTCTTACAGAAGGAAGAATGTATGTACTACCACAGATTGGTGTTGATTAAAGACAAGGAATTCAACTTCCTTGTCCGCATCGATATGAATAATTCAAACCCGCGAAGGAGTCTAATTGCTCAGGAAATACATGCCATTGAAGATGAAGCGGTAATTATAATGTCAGATGAATCAAAATCACTAACACCACCCACAAACAGGGGCAAGAAATCCACTGCGTTAGAAAGACATGTTCTTGAAGATAAATCACCAATCATAGTGGAAGAACCACAAAATGTGAGGCCGCGAAGGAAGAGGTCTAAGAAATCCAATGCGCTACATGTCCTTGAAGATGAAGCACCAAACATAGTGGCGGAAGTACAATCCGTAAGGCTGCGAACAAAGAGGGGCAAGAAATCCAATACGCAACAAATTACATGTTGTTGGAGAAGAATCACCAAACATAGTGGAAGAAGTACGATCCGTATGCCAACAAAAGCACGAGCAAGAAAATCAACAATGAACATCTCCAAATTAAAACTAAGTTCACAAAAGTCGAGTCATAATAGATGACTTCGTTGATAGTGTTACCGAGCATAATGTATGTATGTTAGTAATGTCTGTATTTTAATGGCTTCATCGGCTGCTTTTTTAATATATATATATATATATGTTTATTATTACCTAATTAAGTGTGAATTATGCAAATAATAGCACCTTAATAATTCAAATCTAAATCGCTTAGGCTGTTGTTTATAATATCCTATCTACCCCCCCCCTCTCTCCACCCATAAAATAACGTATATTCATCACATTTAAAACGATTTAAACCATTGAATAAAATACTCAATTAAACCAACCATAAAGTAGTATTACTTAGAAACATTGAATATAAAGCCTAAAATATCCATTATAATAACACATCTACCATTGCACGAGAAATTCGTTAAAGTAAAGACAATGTCCTAGACCGAGAAATATTGATACAAACACGAATAACTCTTACGCGAGAAATGTTTCCTCTTACGACTTTAAGGACTAACGCAACAAAAGAAATACTAAGAAACTTCAAATTTACATTAAAAAAACAAAACATGAAAATACACTAACCCCAGGGAAGACCCATCACCGAAAACATTTTTTAAATAACAACATCCTCACTACACTTTCAAATTTACAAACAACAAGAAAACCTCCTAAAAGCCAATAAGCAAATCAATACACTTTAAACATACTACTACGGTAAATAATAAGCAACATGTAAAATAGAGATTTAATTATTCCACTAATTCGACAGTACATTGTAAGCTATCGAACGTCGACGTCAATGGCACCTCTGGAGCATCGCGCCCATCCAGAAGAGTTACAACCACACCCAAAAAGAGGCCAATTGAAGCAATTCCAACCTTCGCCGAGGATACCTTTAAAACAAACGCCCAATGCCAATGCACATCAAACTAAAAGGAACAGAAAAAACTTTGAGAAATTGCTAAGATCTTGCCGCGCCATTACAATACTACTATCTGTACGACTTTACTGAACGGGCACATCTGCATAAATTTCTGAATTGTTTGGGAGAATTGCCAATCCAAACTACAAACTGTAAGTAACAAATCATTCATTTTTACCATTGTTCAATGTTCTTACTACTCTGCCTTTGTGAACATCTCTCAATAATCTCTGATTTGGTACACTCATGCTGAGATTTGTTCGGCTAACCTGCATGCGTTTTATAATTTAGAATTCCCTCCCAAACTCCGCTACTTTGAAAGGAATATGGCCGAATTACACAAAAGAAGTATATGACAGTCATACATGGTGGTAACAAAAATAGGAAACCTGACAGCCATCTCCCTAACCCCCATGACATAGGAAAACCATACTTGAATAATAATCGCTATGCTCGCGAGGAAGTTGTTGACTATTACTACTATTTGCTCAACCTGGTAAACTAAGGAAAGGGTTACAAAAACTCTGCCCACACGCTTAAGGGATGCACACCCATTAAATAAGATGAAGATGAAAATTCAATAAGTATATGCTACAAAGAGGACCTTAGTTGAAGATGTCTAACAAAATAAACCACCAATGCTCTGATTGTCGGTTGATCAGGACTCACTAGCATATAGATGCTGATGTATGGACTTGCCCTAGACTAAAAATGTACATCAGTACTCCTACAAAAAAAAATAACCCAGTCACACTTGCACACACACGTTAATAAAATTTTAGTAAAAGATTGTGATAGTGGACCATGATGAAGATGTCCTTAAAATTATTACATATATTGTACAATAACTTGAATATGTGGTATTGTGTTTACATTGACCGTATGACTTTCATGATTACTACCTGATTGACTATTTTAGAGAAAAATTGAAACAACTGATGCATTTACATACTCACAATATTCAAACAGGTCACTCATTACTCAAAGAGAGGATTATCAAACATGGACTGCCAATCTAATCAACGGGTCAAAACAATAGGTCAGAAATACGTGCCCTAAATTTATCATTACTTTTAAAGCAAGACCAAATCAAAGTGAGAAAACACTAACATGCTAACATCACAAATTCAATAGGACACAAACGTAAAATACTGACAGATGTAAGAAAGGGCATTGCGAAGGGTGCAAAAATATACTGCCTCTACAAAGCCATCAGAAGTTGGATATATAGAACCAAAGCTGAAGAAGCGGAAAAAAAGTTGGCTACTTCAAGCTTTATCAGAGGAGAACTATAATGAAGGTAAATTGACTAAAATATATTACACTACAACTTACACACCTTTAAGTGAAGTCACCAAAGAAATATGTTATGCTAAAAAACTCAATTTGAATTGTGAATGTAGGCGAAACAAATGTGAACTTATCAACAACATCAACTCATAAGTTGCAAAAACAATTGGATTGCATCTATTTGTCATGCCATGAGGCTTGAATATGAGCCACCAACATTTTGTTGCGCAAGTGGATATATTCAGTTGGCCCCCGACGAAGTTGGAGAGGACTTATACAAATTATTTACAGATGAGTCCAAAGAAGCCATCCTATTTCGGAAACATATTCGAGCGTATAATAGCATCTTTGCTTTTACATCATTTGGAGTACAACTCAACAAGAACTGGCATCTTCAAGGAAAGGCATTTACAGCTTTAAGGCGCAAGGACAAATCTATCACGACTACCATCATTGATCCCGAAGGATGACAGGCCACGTTACTTCCAGCTATACTTCTATGATACAGATCATGAAGTCGCCAACAGGAATGTCAATACTACAAGATGCTAATTTATCCGAGGAAGTCATGAAAAAATCAGGAAAATAATGGAGCAAAATCCATATGCAAAATTTTTTACACAACTAAAGCATCATTCAAATTTTCAGAACTTAGAAATACGCATAGCTGCAAATGCTTCTTTAGATCAACGGGTGTATAACAAACCTTCAGTAGATCAAGTTGCGGCAATTTGGGTAGACGGAAACAATCCAAATATCTCATTTGAAAGAGAATATTGTAGTACACGAACATTCCGGGAACAAACATCGAGTAAAACATTATTATGGTTGTTATGATCCTCTACAGTATCCATTGATTCTACCAAATGGTGAAGGAGGTTGGCATCAAGGAATAGTGAAATCTCACAATCCAAATATCACCATTCCTACATATACAACAACAGCTGCCAACATATGCCCTCGATCATATGCCAGTGCAACAGAGGTTTTGAACAATGAAGAACAAGGTTAGCACATTTACATTCTGCCATCAATCAAGTAATTCACCCCCCCACATAGTATAATAAGAAACTCAATTAATTTTCCGACTAACAGCTTCATATGGAGAACAAATCTAAGGCAACAAATATCAAACAACAACAATATATGTAATTGCTTAAAAAACATGTTCCAGAGGGGTAGTAATTAAATTCAATGAATGTGGTAAACTAACACAACTACATGCAAAGAAATATATTCTACTATAATATACTTGTGAACGTGATGTGGTAATAATATAATATTCAAAGAAGGCCACACATACCTCATGATAAACTGCACTCAAAACTAAACTTATTTAAATTATTTGTAGGTGTACGACGCGAAACAAGAGGTTATGTTTCATGCAGAGAGTACTACTGCTATAAACTACAAGTACGAACGAATGACAAAACAATTTTGTTGCTATCTGGTAGATTGTTACAACAATTTGTAGTGGACATGTACATAAAATTGGAAACCACGCGACTTGAATATTATAGATTCGAACAATCAAATTACAGAAGAGAGATATTACAAGGTATCGTTGATAGTGTTACGGCAGGCGAATGCAGAGGAGAGAAGGTCGGGCAAAGGGTCTTACTACCAGGGTCATTCATTGGAGGCCCGAGGGATATGCGACGACGCTATATGGATGCTATGGCACTGGTACAAGAGTATGGAAGACCAGATCTATTTATCACCATGACGTGTAACCCTGAATGGACAGAGATTCAAGAACAACTATGTGCGGGGCAAGTCGCTCAAGATCGTCCAGATTTGGTGACTAGAGTGTTTAGGGCAAAATTGCAGGACCTGAAAGACCAAATATTTAAAAAGGAAATTTTTGGCCCGACAGCAGCACATGTTTTTGTAGTTGAATTTCAGAAGAGAGGCCTACCACATATACACCTACTACTAATTTTAAAACAAGGTCATAAAATAACATCAGCAGATCAGTATGATCGATATATTTCGGCAGAGTTGCCTGCTAAGGATAAGCAGCCAGAATTACATGAATTGGTTATTAAGCATATGATTCATGGTCCTTGTGGTATAAAACGACAATCAAGTCCATGTATGAAGGACGGACAATGTAAGTTTCACTACCCCCGAGCATTCAACAACAAAACAATACAAAGGAGAGATGGATATCCTATTTACCGAAGAAAAAATGATGGGAGGACAAGCGAGGTTCGAGGAATGAAGATGAATAATCAGTGGGTTGTCCCTTATAATCCATATTTATTGAAGAGATATAATTGCCACATTAATGTAGAGGTTTGCTCAGGTGTTAAAGCAATAAAGTACCTGTACAAGTATATATATAAAGGACATGATAAGTGTGCAGTTTACATTGAGTCAGACGAGGGTGAAAAATTCATAGATGAAATTCGAAGCTTTCAAGATGCACGTTGGGTGTCACCACCTGAAGCGATGTGGAGGATTTACGAGTTTACTCTAAGCGAAATGCAACCAGCTGTTATAAACCTACAACTACATCTACCCGGTAAACAAGCAGGTATCCTAAAACATATTCTCAGATAGTATAAATACAAGTCACAGTTCTCCAATCAAAGCGATTAATATTAATAATAAGCTTCTGTTTTAAAATGTAGTCTACTATTGGAAGAAGCAAAATCTTCAAAATATTGCAGGCTCCCAGTTTGTACAACAAACTATGCTTACTGAGTATTTCAGGATGTGCTTGAATGACACTGACGCTCGCAATTATCTATATAGAGAATTCCCCAAGCATTATGTTTGGAATTCCCAATCTAAAGTTTGGACTAAAAGAAAATCGCGCTCCGTGATCGGCAGAATAAATGTTGGTAAGTATTACACTTTGATATGTGGCATTTATGAGTTAAACAATAAACTAACTAGGATGATCGAAATCACAGCTAATCCTAAAGAAGGAGAAAGGTATTACGAGAGATTATTATTAAATCATGTTCGAGGTCCGACATCATTTGAAGACTTACTCACTGTTAATGGAATACATTGTCATACTTTCAAAGAAGCTGCCAAGGAAAGAGGTTTATTATAATCAGATGATAGCATTTCAGAATGCTTACGCGAGGCTGTAATCTTTAAGATGCCTGTAGCTCTTCGAATGTTGTTTGCGACAATTTTAGTTCATTGCAACCCAACAGATGTAAGAAGACTATGGGACACATATTATAACGATATGTCAGACGACTTTCAGAGGACCCATGCCAAATCAGCCGAGGCCAAACTCCAAAGTACGTTGAAAAGTGTAAATTCATACTTGGAGAGTATGGGTCAAAGTGTTGCAAAATTTGATATGCCACAAATCCAACAAGAATTACATCAAGGTGACACATATGAATGCCGAGAAATAGTCGAAGAAAGGTCTGTGAAGGTGCCAACTGAAGATATGGAGGCACAATCAAAGTTGAATGAACAACAAACGCAAGCATTCAAGACTATCTTGCAAAGGACCGACTCTGGAACACCAGGATTATTCTTTGTAGATGGACCCGGTGGAACTGGAAAAACATATCTATATCGGGCATTGCTGGCACATATAAGATCAAGAGGTATGATAGCATTGGCATCCGCCAGCAGCGGGGTAGCGCAGCAATCTTACCGGGAGGTCGTACAGCTCACTCGAGATTTGGAATACCTCTACAAGCTAATGAATCAACAATGACAAATATGTCAAAACAAAGTGGCGGGGCTAAACTTATTAAACAAGCCAAACTAATAATATGGGACGAAGCACCAATGGCTAAGAGACACGCAATTGAAACAGTCGACAGAAGCTTTCGTGATATAATGGAAAAAAATGTGCCTTTTGGGGGAAAAGTAATGGTATTTGGAGGTGACTTTCGACAAGTGCTACCGGTGGTTCCAAAATCAACACGAGCAGAGACAGTGGATGCAAGTTTGGTAAGGTCATATTTGTGGCCTTTGATGGAAAAAATTCATTTAACATCCAACATGAGGGCAAGAACAGATCCAAATTTTAGCAACTTCTTGATTCGTGTTGGAAACGGCGAAGAGAACACAATACGGGATAATTTAATACTACTACCACAACAAATAGTGGTCCACCCAACTGGTCAGGGTAAGGCAGAAGAATGCTTGGTAACAGAAATTTTTAAAGGGCTACAACAAAATTACAGATCGGCAAAGTTTATTACTGAAAGGGCAATCTTAGCAAGTCGAAATGAATTCGTAGATAATATAAATGAAATGATGATTACTCGATTCCCAGGAGAAACCAGAACATATATCAGTTTCGACTCGGCAGAAGATGATACCAATAATTACTATCAAGAAGAATACCTAAATACATTAACTCCAAATGGTCTGCCGCCACATAGGTACATCAATATACTCAATCTGTCGTTAACATTTTAATTATTATATTAGTTTGAATTCCTGTACCAGATCAACAACAAAGGTGTGGTAAAATACATAACATCATATGTATCTTTAAATTAAACATATTAGGTTGGTTTTGAAAGAGAATGCGCCTATCATGATGCTGCGCAATTTAGACCCATCAAATGGTTTATGCAATGGGACACGATTGATTTGTAGAGGTTTTGACAACAATGTCGTGCATGCAGAAATAACTACAGGAGAATTTGCAACAAAACATGTGTTTATACCAAGAATCCAATTATCGCCGCCTGAGAATGAAGGATATCCTTTTAAATTTATTCGGAAGCAATTTCCAATACGTCTATGTTTTGCCATGACAATAAATAAGGCTCAAGGTCAAACGATACCTAATGTGGGATTATATCTTCCCCAACATGTTTTCTCCCATGGGCAACTATATGTAGCTTTATCAAGAAGAATCTCAATGGCAACAACAAAGGTATTGGTTATGACTGAACAACCAGATACGGGGACAGGGACATATGCAAGAAATATCGTATACAAGGAAGTATTAGGTTAGCGACGCTTTCAATCTTTAGTAGTGTAATCAAGTTGGAATAAAAATAACTTATTACATGTAGCTAATGAAAATGTCTTTGGTCATATTTATAGGTCCTGTTGAAAAAGAGACGAGCTAACCATCAAAATGCAACTTCTGAAGCAAATACAACTATTGTGAAAAATTTGATATTGATAGTTAGGATACAAATGACTTCAAACTCTTGGAAGGTATCCTCTATTTTAGAACAATGTCATAAACACAACCAATTGTAGCTTCGAGCAGTATTACATATCCGCTTATTCATTTGAACTTCCACACCATTAAATGCATCTAATAAATTCAAGACAATTTTCAGAAATGGAGTATTATTTCAAAACAAATATCTGGTAGCTAACGAACATCCATACAAACAAATCTCTTAAGACCTATGCCATATATTGAACAAATAGAGTGTGTATGCTTTAATGCTGCCCAATTGTAAGCATGAACTAATATTTGGTAACTAAGAAACATCCATACCAAGAAATACCTTAAAGACATATTCCATATATGGAACAAAACGAGTATTCATTCTTTAATGCTTCACAGTTGAACACATCACGAGACTAGCCAACCACGTGCAACGCACGTGCAGTGAATCTAGTATATATATATATATATATATATTAAGAAATCTACTTAGTCACTAAAATTATTTTACTTTAACTAATTATAGAATTCGTAAACATCAAATCATAGAGTCGTCTCAAATAGAAAATGTAGTCACATGCAATTTAAAAATTATGAGTTTTTTTTTTTTAAGAATAAGATACATAAGTTTGTCCACAAGTTAAAAAAAAACACAATATGTCATTATTAGTTGAAAGAGAGTTGTTAATATTCACCAAAATTATGGTAAGATTTCAGTTTCTGTGATGCAACCTTATCAACTGCCTGAGTTTCATCACTTTACATGCATGAATAACTTATGATGACTGTTTTTTTTAATTCGATGTCCGATATTTATACTGGTTCGATTAAATTTGAATTCATATATATAACATGATTTATTCTGAAAGTAATGCTCGCAAATCGCAAAATAATTTTTTTTATTCTAGGAGTTGAACCTAATTTTGCCAGTCGAATTCGCGTGTTTATTTGTTCTCGTTTTGAATAGTTGTAGTGCCTACTTGTACATTGACAAAATTAAAAATCATAGTTATCAGCTGAACCGAATTTAAGAATCATGTTTATGTATCACGCATAAATAAAAAGACATTAGTTTGCCAAGTGCAAAGTTCCAACAATAATTCAATATTTATTTATTTTTTAAAAGTCAATTATTATTTTTTAAGAAAATAATCTTAAATTAACAAGAAACTTCTGATGATCCTTCACTCGTGTAATTAAAATATTTGTGTTAACAAGTTAATTAGAATTTTGGACTTATTATTTTGATTTTATTTCTTAAAATTTTAAAAAGATTTTTTTGTAGGGGCAAAAATAATGTGTATATGAACTGTTTTGGTTCCCTTTCTACCAGTCTTAATGATTTATACAAATGCATGTATGGACAATTAGGGGGCACATGCCACCTTAACCCTCTATGATTGGGAAGATCATTTTTAATTTAATTAATCTCAAAATATCCAATTAATTAAGAGATTATGTCCCTTAATGTAACAAGAGAGTCTAATTAATGTTGATAAATAATCAAACAATTAAGGATTTGCAAGTTCCATGCATACTTGTTATTTGTTAGTAATACAATAGAAGTCAATTAATGTGTTCTGGCGGTAAATGAAGTAAGTGAAAAATATGAAAGATCGAAATTTATAATTTATTTAGCCAAACTTTGAAAATCAATTTATTTTGAGAAATACTTCTTATTAAACATGCATTTTGTGTTTAGCTAAATTATTTGAAAAAGACTTTTTATTAATTAGTGTAGTAGTTATGTGTTTGGCCATTATTTTCAAAAGCACTTATTTCTTCATCAAAAAACTTGGTCAAATGCCTTCCTATTTTAAAAATATATTTATTTATTTGAAAATGAACATTATTAACGTTTCAGAAATTTGGCCAAACAGGCAACTAAAATATAGTAAAAATGAAAGCCTTAGTTGATAGAATTATTCAATATATATAATAATGAAAGATAATATATAAATATTCAGTAAAATAATCAAGATATACGTAAACTGATTCAAATATGATTAAGGACTTCCTAATGTGTGGTTGAGGCTGGTATGCTAAAGTTTAAACAAGAACCAATAATGATAGGTCTGACTCAGATGTGGTATTATTAGTTAGCATGCTCAAGGAAAGTACTAATGATTAATTAAGGAAACTAATTAATTATTAAGTACTGTTTGCTGGTCAATGTACTGGTGGTTTTTCTGTCCAAAACTCTATCAAGTAGTTTTTTTATCTCGTCCGATTTCTGGTATCCATATTGGAGTCCGACTAAATTTGGATTCGCGTCCAGAAGTCCCACATTAGGAGTAAAGTGCTCTCTAACAGAGGTGACTCTGTACCTGAGACCTTCACCGACAACGGAGTACTTAACACTCCACCACAACATTTGTTAGTTATTAAGTAGTTTTGTTATAGCTAGATACCATATTACTTTCTTCGTTTTAATCTAAGTGTGTTAATTTGATTGTGCCAGAATATAAGACACAAAAGAAACTTCTGAATTATGTGATCATAATTTAATGGCATGAGTAGTATTATAAATCTTGTGATCTTAATCTAAAGGCATGTGTAGTATCATAAATCCTGTTACCTTAACACGACCCAAATAAGCCTCACTCATGAGTATTCGAGCAAATATTCCCATTAACACATGGAAGATTTGCCAGCAGCAAAATGAATGTAATTGAAGAAAAATGTATCAAATGCATTTTAACACCAAAAGGGGTTGTTCATCATTTGTCTCAAACACTGGAATGAGTTTCAAAGACTCCTTAAAGAAAAAATACGGAAAACTAACATATAATCTACCAAAAAGTTACTTCAATAGACCATAAGATCATTGTAACTGTTCTCTTATTAGTATTTCCGTCCAAAACCTCCTGCACCGCGACCATATGTTGGGAGAGCTGCCACTGCTTGGGGCTCAGCTGCCTGCTTGACAACGCCTGGAAGGTCAGACATGCCGAGGGCTGAAAGCATGTCAAGGGTCTCCTTGTCAACTTCAATGAGATCAGTCTTGATGGCAGACTCATCAGGAACAAAGTCCATGCGTCTCTCACGTTCCTCCTCTTGCAGTTTCAGGGAGATGCCACGAACGGGTCCCTTTTGGATACGCTTCATGAGGTGAGTGGAGAATCCAGCAATCTTGTTGCGGAGACGCTTGGAAGGAATTATGGCAACTTCCTCCAGGATCTTCTTGTTTGTGTGGAAATCCAAAGTCATTTTGGAGTAGTACCTCTCAATTACCTGTCGAGATGACTTCTTCACGGTCTTGGTGCGCACACGACCCATCCTTGCAGAATTTCCTTAGACGAAACCTGTTGCATTAATGTTTGTCAGTTACCTATCAAAAAAAGTTAATGCCTCTAGTTATTCATCGTTAATCTTTTCCCTGGGACAACAACATTTGCTGATGCGTAGTTTATTTTCCCGTGAATCTGAATATTTTTATCAAATATTGCGATTTATTGAGTCTTAACGTACAAAATAAACACCTGTGAAGCATATTCCTTAGTCCTTACAAAAATGAGAAGCTAACTTTCCTAAGCTACATGGTATAATCTGTGCTCTCAGGTCTGCAAATAGTTTTTAAGCGCAAGGAAAGCCTTTATAACAAGAATCAGTGCATGAATCTAAAAGATGCATTTTTATTTTCTCTTTTGTTCCCAGATAGCATTATGGAGAAAGTAATTACATAACTAGACCAATTTGCATGGGGATAGGCTCGGAAAAGGCATATCGGCTTAGACAACTAATATGACACTAGCCTTCCAAGTCCTCAGACCAACCTGCTATAACTGTAATCTGTTGTGCTGGTTAATACACTAGGCTTCATTTAGCAATCCCAATTACTGGATGTAAGTATAATCCTAGAGCAACCATACCCTCTGTTCTACAGAAAACCAGATGAACTGATTATGACCAATTGCAATGACTGTTAGAACTTCAACTTCACGAAATTGCACAATGGAATTTTTGAATGTCTTGAACAACCAATCTTGTATACTATTAATAGCCCATACACAAGATTATTAAAATTTCAATTCTAGATACAAGAATGCTAAAAGATTACTTATTTACTATGATGCTGCCCAAACAAGCTTGCACGAAACTCAACTAATCCAGAGGGTGCCAATCTATCTCCCACCAACACAGTTACCAACTCAAGAAACGAAAAAAATCATTTAACTACTTTTTACCATAGTGGTGATTTGGACCCTTGTATACCATTGTTCATCCCATCTTCACTAACGACTACACAATACTCCTGGTACCATCTTAGACTATCTTTTACACTAGCATCAATCTACCAGTACAATCTCCTTCGGCATGGTAATTGGAAACTCGACTAATCCAGCAGGTACCAACTATCTCCTACCAACACAAGTACCAGCATGACAAATGGAAGGAAATCACCTATCTATTTCTTATCAATGTTATGATTTTGACTGTGGGATACCAAAGTTCATTCCATTGACCACAGAGCGACACTCCTGAGCAACATCTTATACTATCTTTTAAATCTACCACTACAATATCTTTGGGCAAGCTTGCACGCAACTCAGCTAATCCACCAGGTGCTACCTATCTCCACTTGACAAATGATAAAAGATCACCTAAACTAAAATGTTTTTATTGTTGTTGTGATTTGAACCCTGGTACACCATGGTTCATTCCAACTTCATCAACTGCTAATGCAGTTACATTGGTGCCATATTCAACTAATTTTTTTAATAAAATACAGTCAACCTGCCACTACACTCTCCATTCCCCATACTAGCTTTCCAAATTTCAAATAGACAGATTACCTGTGTTGCTCAAAATCCATAGCCAGCAACAAACAGGAACACATATACACAAAGACGTTGTATTGAAAACATATCGGTACCCTAAAACATACGGATTTTAACAGCTCTTAGCAATTAAATAATTTTGCTCAATCCTAAGGCATTGTGATCACATAAATCACAGAAATGTATCTACTAATATAGAGCAATATAATGTTATACAAACCCTCTTATTCGTTCCACACTATACGGGTCATTCATTTAAGTATTCAGATATTCATTTTACACTAAATCTTTTTGTTATCAAAGACTACTTTTTGATAATAATGTACGGGCAAACTTGCACGCAACTCAAATAATCCACTATTATCAAATATCTGCAACAACACATAACAACTCAACAAGTTCAAAAAAAAACCCTATCTTTTTCACACTAGCGTCAACTTACCAGTACACATTACCTGTATCGCTCAAAATCCATAGCTCGCAAACAGTAAATAGTAACACATAAACACAAAAAACACATTGTATTGAAGAAAAATGGTTCATACATGGATTTTATTAGTTTTTAGCAAAGTAAATAAAATTTGCTTGAAATCCTTAAGCATTTTGATCAAATAAAGCTATAAAGCTATAAAACTCACAGAGATTTGCAGCAAAAAGACGAAGAATCACCTTCGTGCGTGCGGCAACTGATACTCTGTGTGATTTTTTTCAGCAATGGTGAAGACTATATTAGGGTTTTTGTGTTTGTGGATGTCTGGACTTTTATTGGGCTTGGGGTTTTTTGTAAAGTTTACTTTGGGCTTTACTAAGGAAAATGAAATACTAATGGGCTTGGACCCAATTTTACTTGGCCCACATTTTGATTTTTGTTATTTTTGGGGTAGTTTGTTCATATCTCGACTAATGTCGCAGAGTATCTTTTACCTTTCAACGATACAAATATCAAATAATTTTATTGACTAAGATTCGAATACAATAACAATAACATTTTTAGTAAAATCTCATTAAGTTGGGTTCTGGGGAAGGTAAAGTATACGGAGAGAGAATGTTATCGAAAGACTATCAACTCAAGTGCATCAAATCCAAGTAAAAGAAGAAAATAACGACAAAAGCATAGCAATAAACAACTCATCGCAAGAACTACAAGGGTATGGCTAATATTATGACAAACATTAATAAGTCTACACCTTCGCAAGACAAAACAATCCTCTACGCTACTAACCTTTAAGTAAATCTCATACTATAAGCTATATACCTCACAAAAAACACATGTAGGTGATATCAAACTCAAGACTTTCCCATTGAGATTCCTTGTTTAACCAATTCCCCCCCCCCTAAATAATATTGTATAAACTCGTTTGATTGAGGAACAAGTTAATTTTATAATTGTTATTTCACCTTTAATGTGGATCTCATAAAAATAACACTATAATTTTGAAACAAGTTAACCCATAATTTTGTCCGACTAAATATGGAATGAACCCATCTAAAAAATAATTTAAAATTAATTATCTCATATCTCTCATACCAAACGAGCACTACATTAATTAAGGGTAAAAAATTGAAGAAAAAGAAAAAGACACCTTTTCTCTTTAGGTCCTCCTCTTTTAGCCATTCTGTCATTTACCAAAAAATCCCAATCGGCGATTCAACGGCGCCGACTAATTCAATGTCGACATGGACGAGGGACGACGACAAGCTCTTCGAACACGGCCTGGTTTTGTACCCTGAAAACGTCGCCGACCGGTGGCAATTGATCGCCGATCATGTCCCCGGAAAAACAGCGGACGATATCATGGCTCATTACGATGACCTTGTTCACGATGTATTTGAAATTGATTCCGGTCGGATTGATCTACCGAGCTATACGGATGATCCGGTTGAATTGGAAGGCGATTGCCAGATTTCATCGGGATCAAACAAGAAGAATAATGAAATTGAGAGGAAAAAGGGTACACCATGGACTGAAGATGAACACAGGTACCATTTTGCTATTTGAAATTTTTTGGGTTGAATTATGTTAATCAGGTGAAAATTAGTGTTTATGTTGAATTTGGTAATATGGGTTTTGTTTATAACCTATTCAGATGTGTGTTTATCATTTCTCAAAATGTGGCTGAATATAGAATGATTTTTTTTATTTGACCATGGTGTCCGAGCCAGCTTCCGTACTTAGTGGTATTTCACGGGGTATATTGTTGTTGTTGTTGGTGTCCGAGCCTGCTTGCCTGTACCTCGTATCTCGCGAGATCATGTAACTCTGTCCACTGAGTATAGAAGGGGAAAAGATCATGTAGTGTTAATGGTGGAGTTTGCTGGCTTGGAAATGAGTTTATTTTTGTTTCAATATCAGCATTTCCTTTTTGCTTTGATCAGTGAGTAAAAAGGACTCATGAAAAGAAAAAAGTCTGGAAAAAAAGTACTTTTTTTTATAACTGTGGTGTCAAGGCCTGCTTGTCCGTACTTCGACTTATACCATGGGATACCTCTATCACGTAACACCAACAATAAGTACCGGTAACTCTTTCTATCAAGGGTATAGAACAGATGGGAAGAAATGTCCTAGTGTTAATGGTGGAGTTTTTTGGCTTGGAAAATGAGTATTTTTGTTTCAATTTCAGCATTTTCCTTTCTGTGCTTTGATCAGTGAGGAACAAGGACTCATTTTCACTCATCAAAAGAAATATTAGGAAAAAGGTACTACCTTTTTTGATAGCCATGGTGTCTAGGCTAGCTTGCCTGTACCTCTTCTAATTCCATGGGATAACTGTCACGTCACACCAGCAACAAGTTTCAGAGTTTAACTCTGTCCACTGAGGCTAGAACAGATGGGAAGAAATCACCTAATGTTAATGGTGGAGTTTGTTGGCTAGGAGATGAGTCTATTTTTGTTTCAATTTCATCATTTTCCTTTCTGCTTTGATCAGTGAGGAAAAAGGACTCTTTTACTCATCAAAGGAAAAAAATCAGGAAAAAGGTACCTTTTTCTTTTCCAATGAACTGCCTATGAGTAATCCTCTTCATCCAGAGTCAGGTTCAAGACTTTTAAGTTTATAAGTTTATTTTGATAATATGGAAATGCAATTAAACAATCTTCGTGGATTATATTTATCTTTTAAGGTTGAATTAGGGTTGTTGGTTATGTTTATCACCTATTTTTTTTAATCGAGAATGTGAGTGAATATAGAATAACAGTATTTTGACTAATTCTTCTCTTATTTGTTTGTTTGTTATGGCTAGGAAATTGGGTCTCTTCTGATTTCAGTTTACGCATTTTTTTCCTTACTGCTTTGATCAGTAGGACAAAAAGACTCTCTTTTTGTTAATGGCGGAGTTTTTGGCTCGGAAATGAGTCTCCTTTGGTTTCAGTTAGGCATTTTTCTGTCTGCTTTGTTCAGTGGGAAAAAGAACTCCTTTTTTGCCATCAAAAGAGAAAAAGAAGGGAAAATGCTATGTTGCTTGGACTCTTCAAAAAATGTAGATGAATGCTTGTTGGGTCCTCCAAAAGTAGTGCTCTTTTGAAGGATCCGACACTGTGCGGCAACATTTTTTGAGAGTTCGAGCAACATATGAAAAATGTACCTTTTTTTGTTCAATGGCTGCCTAAGCATAATCATCCTCTACTGTTTATCTTTAGCCAAAATGCTTAGAGAACTATCTGCCTAAGAGTAGTCCTATTCAAGAATTACATTTTCTTTTGATTTCTGAACTTGTAAACTGATACAACTAGAATTTTCCTTCTCATTGGTGTAATCCGTCCTATATCTTATTGTTCTTGTCTCTTCTTTATACCCCCGCTCGAAGCTAACATTCGTGCAGCAAAATGGTGATTTTTGGCCATGAGGGTGGTGGGGACTGTTGTTTCAGATTGAGATGGTTGGCCTCTGATCAACATGAGAGTAAATTGACCATTTTTGATAGACATTGGCAGTTTTCATGTTCACAATTTAGATCATTCAAAGGGTTGTTTGATTGTGATTTAGTGGTATGGTGAATTTGGTGATTGCAAATATGATCTTAAAGAGCTTTTTGACAGATTATTGTCCCATTTCATATAACCAACTCTTAACTTGCTTGGGATTGAAGAGTAGTTTGTTAATCTTGTCCCTGCCATTAGAGGGTCGGGGGCTCATATCACTTGAGTACTTATAAACTTCATTGCTCGGACTCTTCAAAAATGAAGACGGGTACATGTCTGGTCCTCCAAAAGTAGGCATTTTTGGAGGATCCAACACTGGCGTGACAACATTTTTGAAGAGTCCGCACAGCTGCTTGTATAAACATAATAAGATAAGTAGAGTTGTTATACTTAATTGTGTAACTGACATTGCTGTTCTATAGCTGTTATTTGGGGTGTAGTTATTGTTGATGTTTATAACCGATTTTGCTGTTCTATGGCTGTTATGAGACGTAAAATCCTAATATTCTTGCATAGGTTATTCCTTATCGGTCTGGACAAATACGGGAAGGGTGACTGGAGAAGCATTTCAAGAAACGTAGTGGTATCAAGGACACCAACGCAAGTGGCTAGTCATGCTCAAAAATACTTCATTAGACAACAGGCGATGAAGAAAGAACGGAAAAGGTCCAGCATCCATGATATTACAACTGCAGTGGATACCAACCCAGTCCCTCCTCAAAGCAGCTTTCAAAACCAAAGTGGCAGTCAAAATTTCAACTTCGCAATGTAGCAGGAAACAAAAAAAGAACACTCATACCTGTACATAGACGAACCACCTGCAATCAATGCTCGAACTTGTAAAGTTTATTGTACTTTCTAGTTGACAGTATTTTAGTTAGTGAATCCAGGAGCTTAAAGATCAGTCTTTGGCGAGCAGAATAGTTGATGAAATTGTTGGCAAAATGGTTGAAGAACAGAATGGTGTTAAACTTTTTCTTGCCTTAATGTATGTGTCTAGTAGTTTGTGTGTTTATGGTAGTTTTGTGTTAGTTTTTGGCCTCCAAGCTACCAAACCGGGGTAAATGAACTTGGAAAATAGTTAGAATTGTGGGTACATAGAATTTGAGTAATATCAATTGTGGGATTACTTTGGGTATGTTCGTTATCATTGTTGGACAGCTTTAAGCAGATGGAAAAAGTTTTCTACGAGTAATAATTTTTGCTTCTGCTGAATTCGAATTTGAGACCTTATCGTTCTCATTGCACATCATTAGCCACTAGATCATACCAGGTTCAATTTTCCAGAGGAGCCTGTGTCCACTAGATCAATAGGATCCACATACATTCTTCACTTTCCCCGATTTAACCATTTGATATCTGAAACTCACTAGCCCAACTACTTTGTGCATTCAAACTAGGTGGACCCTCTAAGGTCATTATTCTGCACATTGAAATCACTAGTAATAGTTCTTCTTTCAACACGAGCTCGTTGCGAATGACTTGATCACGAGCAACGAGTTTACACTATGATTACCAAGCGATAACAAACTGTACAAATGCAGTGCCAACAGAATCAAACTGGTCCCAAACAAGATGATATTCGATTCTCGAACCAAATGTGTTTTACAGTTTCAAAAAAGAAAACTTCAAGGAAGAAGAGCATGGAGGATAATAACTACGAAATATTTTGTACAAGATCCAACAGTATCAAGAGCAACACAAAGTCATTATCCATTTATTTGTCAAAAGTAACTTGAAAGGAAGAGTTTGAGATGTCAGTTCAGCTCTTGTTAACCCCTTCTCCAGCCTTCTGCTTAAAGAAAAGAAACGACGGGTTAAGAAAACGTGTACAGTATAATCTCAAAAAACATATATATTTAAAAATTTAAAAGAAGATCTAGGTGGGAAAATCATCAATCCAACACATGTATCTCTAAACACTCAATTGTGTTGTCCAACTAAAAGTGAGACTGGTTAATATAAAAGTGTTGTATGGGAGGGCAGTGCGTATGTTGAGAACAGTAAAAATAGTGCAATTCTATCAACTTTGAAACCTGTTGGCGTTCACAAAATATGTATAGAATTGGATGTTAGAACTTCGTTAAAGATTCAAAGCTTAACTTGGCAAATTCTAAAGCAGAAAAAGACGCATAGGTGTTTACTCACCACAACAAGAATCTTATGTCTAAAATACTTGCAATTATGGATTTCAGAGAACATAACCGATGTCCATATGCCATACCTAAGGTTTATTAAAATGGTTTGAACTTTGAGATGGTTAGTTAGACCAAGTATACACAATTCTCATCCATATTACACCTAGTTGAAAGATTTAGCCATGAGAATTTAGGAAAGAGTAGTAGAGCAATATGAAAATGCAAAATGACTCTCTTTTTTGCTATTACATGCAATTGTCTTCCTCAAAGGCTTTGAATATATTCAATATCTTACCAAAGCCAAGACTAGACATCCAAACAGATGTATAGCAATTGGAGCTGGTAATCTTCTTTTTGCTTAATCACAAAAGGAGGGAAATTAATTTCCAACATCCTAAGAGAATTCTCGCCCTATGAGAACTAAGATACGCATTTTTCTTTTAAGAATAATTTGCCTTTTTCCGCTGTCAAAACGTACCAAAAGCAACATAACAGAATACGAATCGCCAGTTTATGTATGACTAAACATATAGAACAAGAAAAAAAAAAAAAAAAAGGATCCAAACCTTATCGGCCTTCTCTTTCTCAGCTTTCTCTCGCTCTGCCTTCTGCTTTGCCTTCTCCAACGTCTCCCTTTCCATTTTCTACTCACAAAATTGAAAAACAATACGCATGAATGATCTAGCATAACCTTATACCATATATCAAAAAGAGAACACATCAATCCAATTCACTCCAATCCCAACTATTTGGAGTCAATGTAATTCAGAATTAAGGTTTCGAATAAGTACAATCTGTTATTCATGGTAATTATTTTACACACACATAAAATACATATGCGATTGTGTGTGTACATAATATACTTATTACATACATGCAGAACTTAGAGCTATAGGATTTGGAATGGTGCAATCTATTAGTTACATCATTTTTTCTACACATGAGCTGAAAGTAGGGAATTCAATCAGAGAATCATTACATCCGCCTATTATTCGTCATAATTATTCTACACACAACACACATATTACATACACATATATGCAGTACTTAGAACTATAAGAGCTGAAATTAGGGAATTCAATCAGAGAATCATTACATCCGCCTATTATTCATCGAAATTATCTTATACACAATACACATATATGTGTGTATGTCCATTATACACATATTACATACACATATATGCAGTACTTAGAATTATAAGAGTTGAAATTAGGGAATTCAATCAGAGAATCATTACATCCGCCTATTATTCATCGAAATTATCTTATACACAAATACACATATGTGTGTATGTCCATTATACACATATTACATACACATATATGCAGTACTTAGAACTATAAGAGCTGAAAATGATACAATCTATGAAATTTTAGATCCGCCAAAACTCAGATCAATCTCACTGTATTCAATCACAATCCATTCAAATACTATTAAACAACAATAAGGAGGACATAAATTCACGAAACATTAAACAAAATTATTTTTTTTAAAAAAGAAGCTAAATCATGAAGACCTGAATGTAAATGTTCTCTTGAGCACGTTCTTCTTCACCGAGGACTCTTCCGTCACTGAAGTGTCGGAGGCCGGAAACCGATGATCGGAGAGCTACATTAGCACCTTCCGTTAAACGACGGAGTCCGCTGAATGAAACGACAGATCTCATCGCCATTTTTTTTTCGCTGAGGGTGGAAATTTAACAGTGATGAAATTGCCTCAAGTGTGATTGGCGTTTTGGTATTTATACGGAATAGTGAAGTAGGGTCCAGTTTTTGACCGGGCTTTCGGGTTATGGATAAAATGGTAATATAACAAAAATTTGACAAATTGCCTAACGTTGAATTATTAATCACGTTTTAGCTAGTATTTTCAAAACTATTTAAGTTTTAGCCAAACTTTTGATACAAAATATTTATTTGGCTTATCATATCCTTAAACTTAAAGACATTGGATATACCACTCCACAAATTAAAAATCAATGACTTTTTTTTGTTTGCTTTAATAAGTTCTAATTTCAAAATGTTCATTGAACTTGATTTTGATTCGCGATTTATAAGTCTTAACTAATTTACATCATGTAAGGTTAAATAAAGTCTACGTATACATTCCATTCTCAGACTCCATATATTGTAATTGTGTGGGGCTTTGCTTTTCACATACAAATATTGAAGTCATTGTTTGCAAGTTGATGTTTTGGTAATGGTATATACACTATCCATACACATTACAAAGAGGATGAGCCTAAACAAGGAATTTACTAAACGCGATTCAACTAACGGAGGCTCTTGGAACGGCAAGTAGTCGTTCAGCGTGAGCATTTAATAGGGGTTGCCAAGCACATATGAGAAGGATCAAGGAAAATTTCATTGTTGCATAGCTCAAGTCGGAACAAGGTACCATAATACGTTCAACAGGTATCTCATGAACAAACACTCATGTCCCGACATTGTCATTGTATACAAAACTCACCAGATGAAATTCTGAACATGTGCTCTAGATGAACAGAGATATCGATGACTTTAATTTTCAGAGATATCAAAGATAAACTAGTCAAAAGCTAGATAATTCAGGTACAATACATAATTTCACTTAGGTTTTCCTAAGAGTAGTAAATATCTTGAACATAGATAAAGATCCTTGAATAATCAGCTTCCGTCGTATTACTGTGGTCTGGCAACCGGTTCCAGAGCTTCAATTGTCACCACGCTATTACCCCGAATTACCTGCAACATCAATCATGCATCAACTGAAAAATTAGTGACTGCATTTCTAGAACGAACAAGCTTTTGAGCTAACTAAGTGTTAATTAACATCAAAATATAAGAGATCTTGAAGACTAGAAAGAAAATACAATTGATTATGTATCACAGTTACATCAAGTCACGGAAACAGATGTAAGCAAAGTGAAATTTATAAATGCGGGAGAGGAAGGGAGTAAAAACAGCAGCAAAGACTTACCACCATGCCAATCTCATTCTTATCGTTTCCATTGACCTCAACAGTATTGTCAATAACCAAATTCATGAACTGATCGAACCCACGAAGAGTCCCCACAACTTGACGGTTGGCATTCAACTTGACTGCAAAAGGTATACTACATTACTTAATTCTGAAAAGCAACCCCATGACGGAAACTGACTATAATAGAGCACATTATGTGATTCAGACAATGAATATTGATCCTTAAACTGTACACATGCTGAAACTTCTTATACCAATTATATAAAATTCCCTCAAGTTAAGATAACAAAACTATTATTCCAATTACTTTGAACTGAGGGTCTATTAGAAATAGCCTCTCCACTTCCCAACATGGAGTTAAGGTGTGCGTACATTCTACCCTCCCCAGACCCCACTTGTGGGATTACATTGGGTATGTAGTTGCTAAGATAGCAAAACTTTTGTTTCCAATTACTTCCATCAAAGTCTATATGTAGGCCCTGCATGAGGAGCCAAAATAATGGTGGGCGGTAAACCACTTCAAAATGCAAAGAGTAAAGCATTTAGTGTTTCACTTTATACTACTTTTTGACATGTCCAGCAAAAAAAAAAAATCTGTTCTTAGTTTTGTTTCCTCAAATGCAGACACTGAGATAAAATATGCCCAACAGAAAAATGCAATAATAAGAATTGTTATTTGTGAGCGGCAGAGTAGATTAAAATTCCACATTATGCAAAACTAGGCACATTATTTGAGAAATTTAAGCAAATCCGATATCAATATATCCAATGTTTTGAAATGCAGAATCAGCACTTTTGTACAACCACAGAAGCATCATGTTAAAGGGGAGGAGAAAAGTTTTACAGTCTCGATAGCTATGGACAACAAAACAAAT